GATAAGTTCATCGAAATATGTAATGAAGATATAGATTATGTTCAGGAAAGATTTGAATTATTGGACACTGCGGAAAATAATGAAAATCTTATTTCTTCAATTGAAGCACCTCCTGAACACATTATGAAATTACTTTCTGCACATTTAAAATATGCATTTTTAGGAGATTTATCTACATTACCTGTTATAGTATTCTCAGAGTCAACTGAATTACAATAACAAAAATTATTAGAGATTTTGAGAAAATATAAGAAAACCTTTGGATGGACAACAACTGATATCAAAGGAATCAATCCTTCAATTTGTATGCACAGAATTTTATTAGAAGATCACCATGAATCGAAAGCGGATCCTCAAAGGAGATTAAACCCTATAATGAAAGTAGTGGTTAAGAAAGAAATTTTGAAATGGTTAGATTCCGGTATTATATATCTTATCTCGGACAGTGCTTGGGTAAGTCCAATTCTTCGCGTCCCAAAGAAAGGGGGTGTGACTATTGTTGTCAATGAAAAAGAAAAATTATTACCAAAACGACAAGTCACTGGTTGGCGAATATGTATTGACTATAGAAAATTAAATTCTGCCACTAGGAAAGATCTTTAATCTTTACTTTTTTCGGATCAAATGCTGTATAGACTGGCTAGACACAAATATTTTTGCTTTTTAGATGAATATACTGGTTATCATCAAATTTCTATTGCTCTTGAAGATTAAGAAAAGACAACATTTACAAGTCCTTATGATACTTGCTTTTAGACGAGTGTCCTTTAGTTTATGTAATGCACCTGCAACATTTTAAAGATGTATGATGCCTATACTTTACGATTTGATTGAAAAATGAATAGAAGTTTATGGATGACTTTTCAGTGTTTGGAACTTCGTTTGAATCATGTGTAAATCATTTAGAAAAATTTTTAGAACAATGTGAAAATACAAATTTAGTATTAGATTGAGAGAAATGTCAATTTATGGTTATAGAAGGAATTGTATTTGGACATAAAATTTCTAAGAACGGTATGGAAGTAGATCCGGCAAAAATTTAGGCTATAGCTAAATTATCCTCCTTACTACAGTGAAAGATGTTGTTTTTTAGGACATACTGATTTCTACAGGCGATAAATTAAGAATTGTTTGACAATTACTAAACCTTTTTGCCAATTATTAGAGAAAGATGAAAAATTTGATTTCAATAAAAAATGCATTAATTCCTTTGAATTATTAAAAGAAAAATTAATCACTGCTCATAAAATAGTTTCACATGATTGGGAGAAACCGTTTGAGCTAATGCATGATGCTAGTGATTATGCAATTGATTTTGAATTAGGGCAAAGATATGACAATTTTTAAAATTATATATTATACAAGCAGAACTCTGAATGAAACTCAAATTAATTATACCACTACTGAGAAAGAGTTATTAGCAATTTTCTATGTTTTTGATAAATTTAGATCATATCTCATTGGAGCTAAATGTATTGTGTATACTGATCATTCTGCTATAAGATATTTAATGCAAAAGAAAGTTGCGAAACCAAAATTAATTAGATAGATTCTTTTGATGCAAGAATTTGATTTTATGTTAGTAGATAAGAAAGGATCTGATGATCAAATAGCGGATCATTTATCTAGGCTCGAACAAGAAAGATTATTTAATTATGAAAGTGAAATTAATGAAAATTTTTCTGATGAACATCTGTACACTATTAATGAATGACATGTGTCATGGTATGCAGACATAGTAAATTATATTGTTTGTGATATTTTATCCTATGGATTGACAACCCAACAATAGAAAAAAATTATTCACAATGCAAAATTTTACTTTTGGGATGACCCATATTTACATAAATAATGTAAAGATTTGATTATTCGAAGATGTGTACCATATTAAGAAACTGAAAAGATTATTCAAAGATGTCATGATTCTGAATTTGGATGATATTTTGGATTCGGTAGAACAACATATAAAATTTTACAATCTGGATTTTATTCGTCCACTCTATTTAGAGATATTAATACATATATAAAAACATATAATCGATGTCAGCGAATAAGAAATATTTCAAGAAAGAATGAAATACTCCTAAATTTTACATTGAAAGTTCAAATATTTGATGTATGGGGATTGAGTTTTATGGGACCATTTGTTCCCTCTTTTGGAAATTTTTCGGTAGAACAACATATAAAATTTTACAATCTGGATTTTATTCGTCCACTCTATTTAGAGATATTAATACATATATAAAAACATATAATCGATGTCAGCGAATAAGAAATATTTCAAGAAAGAATGAAATACTCCTAAATTTTACATTGAAAGTTCAAATATTTGATGTATGGGGATTGAGTTTTATGGGACCATTTGTTCCCTCTTTTGGAAATTTATATATATTAATTGCAGTAGACTATGTTTCCAAATCGATCGAAACAGTTGTTTTACCTCGATGTGATGCTCGAAGCATTTCAAAATTTTTAATGAAAAATGTTTGTGAAAAGTTAGTTCTACTAGAGTTGTCTTTTAATCTCCCGTGTGGAGTTTCTTCCCTCTTGTTAGGTCTGTGACCGACGACAGGTGGTGTTTCGACTACATCTTGCTCCGAGGTGGTGTTATAAACTTCAAACTCTTTTACTACTATTCACCGACCCCCCACCACTCCCCTAGTTGCCTACCATCCTCACATTCCTCCACTCTGTCGCAACCCCTATTTCCTCCACGATCTCGCCGTCCAATCCACCTACAACCAACCAGACACAATCCCTTCTTACCCCACGACAGCTCACCTCTCCGACGTCGCTATCACTTTCGATTCTCTTCAAATAGCTCTAGCTTGAGATTCATCTATTATTGTATTTCTCTTTTGTTTGAGTCGTGTTGTATATCTATTTTTATATTAATAAAAGTTTACCTTTTTTGTATTACGCCACATCCCAACTTATTCCGGTATCACGACTGCTAGCTGAAAGTCTACGATGACCGCAGACTCGAGGACTGATGGAAGAAGCCGCAGGAGTAGGTCCGTCGGCTAGAGGGAGTGCTTGAGGGGTCCTGGAAGTGCGGCTGCTTGATGTGGAGGTTGCTGGGAGGCTCTACAGAGGAAAAGGGAGGCGCAGGCTAGGGTGCGGTGACCTGGAAGGAGGTGCGGGCTGTCTACGCCGTTGGAAGGAGCTGTGGAATGGAGCGGAGAACACCTAGGGCGAGATACAACTGTAACACCACTCACTAAAGGGTACAACTCTCGAAGTGGTAACACCAGAAAGAAGCACCTGAAATAAGAAAATCAAAACTAATTAGGACCTAAGCAAAAACTTTTATAAATAGAGAGAAGACTTAGCAGCTAGCAATGACAATATGTGAAAGGAAAGGGAGGAAATGGTAGGAAATGAAGGGGGCACTGCAACGGCTTGGATGAGGCGAAAGAGTAGGGCTCGAGAAGGAAATGATTGCGGAAGAGCAGCCGAGAGGAATCGTGGGCCTTAAGTGGTAAGGGACCGGTATCATTCCAGCAGGAAGGCTGGACCACTTATTTGCCACGCCCAGGCGTGAACATTGAACGGCCCCGTGTCAAACATTGAATTGATTTACTATTTAACTTTAACACATAGAACCAATAGAAAATACAAGTCTTGAGTCCATTTTTGGATGGAACTATTCGGCAGCTGAAACAAGTTTGTTATTTTTTTCTTTCTGGCTGCATGCTGAAACAATGAGCATTGGGGGTATCCTGTCAGTTTAAAGGAGAGCAGAGGCTAGAAGAGTTGAAGGAACACTAATTCACTTTATTTATTTATTCAAATTTGGTTCTCTAATTCACTTTGTTTATTTATTCTAAATAGAAAATGCAAAGTTGCTTTTTATAGCTAAAATGATAAGCGATATGAAAACACATGTTGGCCATCCAAATAAGCGAACCAGTTTTCTAGTAATGTAAGTTAAAATTTTTTGTAAGACCTATACTTATCTAAATACTTATCATGATTTATTTAAATATCTAAAAAAATATTTGGAGAATATTGCTAAGTGTATACTCTTTTGATATGAGGAGCTAGGGGAGATGAGATTTGCATTGAGTGAATTGTGGAGGATTACATGATTTTCTTTTATTCCCATCAGCGGATTCTCCATTACGTTGGGAGATCTGGTTGAATTTTTTTTATTTGTTCTTATTGTTTGGAGCTTAGAATGTTCCGTTTAATTTAGAATTGAAAATCTCAATGATTTGTTGCCTCCTTATTCTGGGGTTTTGAATTGGTGAATTTGCTATTAGTTTCTGTCTTTGCTAATTCTCATTTCATGGCCTCACATTTTTTTTGTATTGATTTGAGCTTTTTGATGGAAACTTTTGGTAGCTTCTAAAATAATAATTGAATTTTTTTTGCTGTCTAAATCTGTGAGTATCTTCTGGATCAATAAATTTGGCGAATAATCCATCATTGGAATCCTTCTGGATTAGAGTGGCACTGCTTATTATCATTGTAATTGAGATATAATCAACTAAATAGGAGGAAAGTTAGTACATTCTGTTATATCTATTTTGATATTAAAAGAATATTCTCTTAAATCTATCTGGATATTAAAAAAGTATTCCTTGGTTTGGTTGTTTTATTGGCCAAATCTTACTTAGTTATCATCTCTTCAAACTGCATTGCTTCTATTTTAAAATTGATGCTAAATTGCCTGAATTGTCGCCCACACTGTTGATTGATAAACGGCCAGCTTTCTGATTTAAACCTGATTACTGTACTATTTGTTAGATGTGAAGATATTTATATTTGGAATATCATTTTAGGCCTGCTGTCGAGTAGCATAAAACAATGGACTATACATGTATTATTTCCAATATTGCTTTTAATAAGATTTTAGAATTTCATTTCGATTTTTGCTATTGCATTTAAAAGGAGTCATCAAAATTTATTGTTTTTAACTCATCCACTTTAACTTCCAGTTTTCTTATTATATGTACTGTCCTTCTTTTCACTGCTTATCTGTGAGCACATTGTAGGTATGCCATGCATGAGTTAGGCCTTTCTTCTCGTAAGCCTTTCAGAAAATGTGCTAGAGTAGTTGGAGAGGTAAAATCATTATCTTTCTTGCTATTCATTTTGTTTGCAAGTGGTCAATTGTTTTTTTTTACTCCTTTGATTTAATCATTTTAATTTTTGGTACAAGGTTTTATTCTTTATTTGAAGCTTTATTTTGTTGGCCGTTACTAGGTTTTGGGTAAATTTCATCCTCATGGAGATACTGCTGTGTATGAATCCCTTGTCAGAATGGCACAGGTATTATTGGAATTTGGTATACATAATAATTTTTGTCTTGTTCACTTGAACTTGAGATGAATTTCCACTGCTTTCGATTTCATTTTGAACCTGACTATAGCAACATTATAATTCTTCCGGTTAGAGTAAACAATTTGTCTTTGCAAAATCAGTGGCTGGGATCTTCTGTTTTTTTAAAAAATTTACGCGCTACAAATATTTACAAGCAATTAAAGATAGAAAATGAAAGCTAAATATCACAACACCTAAGCACTGATAGACTAGTGATGCTAAATTAAAAAATATGATCAGTATATTTTGCACGCCCCAACATACATGTTTTGGAACTAAGACATAAAATGAAGAGCATGGTAATTGAAGTGTTGTAAAGTACATCAATGCAACCAAGTAGATGCTGAATACAACCGTATAAAAAAAAGTTTACAGGAAATAAACATTGTAAAAATCTATGAACGGATTCAATGGAATGTGGCATGCAACCTTTAAAAATGTGAAATGTTAGAAGTAGCTATAACAGTGTATCAATGTACTCAAGTGAGCGCCAATCATAACTTTAAAATGAATATTGTAGTAAGTGTAAGTTATTTTAGTTTTAACAATATATAAATGCACTCAAGCGAGTTCAAACTTCAATTTTCAAATGGGAAGAACTTTTAGATAAAGTAAATACAGAAATATAAATGTTAGTTCTTTGATGAGACACATTCAAAGTCCTGAAACAAGTTTGTTATTTTAGTGTTTTGCTTATTTAAAGTCGTCGTTTTTTCTTCAAGAGCCTCATTGGAATTTCGCTAACAGCCTCCATTAGTCATGGAGATAACAAGCTTTACAATTGCTCCTTTTCATAGTCTTAGGATTAACCTCCTTGAATCTTTTTGTGGCTAAGTCAAACCCTCAAGTGACTTTTTTTCAAATCAAATAAGAAACTGAAAGAAAGATGGGCATACAAACTAGAGCACTCTCTGAAAAATATATACGAATAAGCTCAATATGATGTTACAATGGGAAGCTCTACCACATCAACCTTTTGCCAAGACTTAAAAAAAAATACATGGAAATAATTTTTAGGAGTTCAAAAATAAAAACAAAGTTTTGAATATAAAATTTTTTCTTAAAGAAAGAGATTTTTAAAATGATTTTTTCCCTAAAAGTAAAAATAAAAATTTTCTTTTGGGGGGATCAAACCAATGGAAAGCACAAGTTCTAAAGAAAATGGTTTAATAAAGAGTGAAAAAGAAGCTCAAACCTTTTGAATTTTGCAAACAAACTACGTGAATCTTTCAAAAGTTTTATCAAGAGATCCTTCGGAAACTTGGAAAACTAAAAAACTTCAAGTTCTTTCACAAGCATTAGCCATTTTTCCTCTATAGGAGGGGCATATATTGACCCAGAAATGTCACTTTGTCATGACATTTATGATAAACAATTGATTTATGAATTTTGAAAGTTTGCAAACAAAATATCTTGCAAAATCTTCTCGTATGAATTTATGACCTCATAATAAGTTTAGAGTAGGATAAGAAAATATTAAATTATCTTATCAAATTTTTTTTTGAAATGCTTACTTCTGTAAAATTTACATCCAAATATGATTGAAGTCACATCAATCGTCGGATTTCTATTTGAATTTAGTTAGCCATATTGGCAGGCCTTTTCCATTTCAGCCAATTGCTCTTGACTATGTAACTACTTGATTTTCTAAGTTTATTATATTGAAGATTATGTAATATTGAGTATAATGCGGGAAAAATTAATTCCATAACTATCATAATGAATATTTTATGGCTATTAAAGTTTTTCAATTAATTTTCTTAGTTCGCCATAATTTTGTTATTTCAATGATTTTGTGTGGAGTTTAAAATTCAATCTTGCGAGTTGTGTTTGGTATGGCAAATTCTTTTCTTCTTTTCATGCAGTTATTCGTCTTCATTTATGATTGAGCTCAATTTTTTTTGCACTAAATCTGTCTGAAATACAATTGAAGAGAATTAAGTAGATTTTTTTCTTTATAATGGTTATATTCATCAAATACTACATACGGTGAAAAAATTCCAGCAGGTTTCTTGAAACTATCAGTCATAGCTAATCTCTTTCCTGTTTGCAGATCATCTAATTCTGTTGTGCTGAGCAGAAATCTCATGCACCTTTGGTGCAGATAAAAGTTAAGGAAGATGTTTCAATGCCTATAGATTTGCTTTGGCATTTGAGCTTCCATCCCATATTCATTATATGGTAAACTAGTGATGGAGAGCAAGGTTTTTGGTCCTATTGAAGAGCTTTTAACCACCTTTTTTAACTCTTTGTGTGCATTTCTGTTGCTTAAAATTCTTGTCCCAATTGTGTCCTTCCAAGCAAAGGCAAGGAATTTTCTTGATACCGCTTTCTGTACCAATACAATTCCATGATGCAATTTGCTATGTGCATATTTGTATCTGTTAACCATCCCGCTGTAATGAACTAGTACTTTATTATTATTGTTTTGGTATTACGTAATGATTATGTCCTTGATATTCTGTTGTAATAATTCAAAGGTATTTTTCTAGAATTTTTCTATGCGGTGCCCGCTTATTCAAGGACATGGGAACTTTGGGTCTGTTGATGCTGATCCTCCTGCAGCAATGCGATACACTGAATGCAGGTTGGAGGTAGGCTCTTGGAGTGTTTATCTTGATTGAATCTGGCAACTGCTTCCTATTTCATCACCATTAATGTTATATACTCAACATTTTAGTTTTCATATTTTTTAGCTTGTAGCAGTTCATATCTAAGAACTGCAATTCATTATTCTCAAAATTGATAGTCTAAGTTTTCATGTAATTATTATTTATGCTATAGCAATACTAACCGAACATGCCTTTTAAATTGTTTGTCAGAGATGAGCTTATTTTCTGAGACCCATGGTAGTCATTTTTAATCAGCAGAGAAGCAAGATGTGGCACTAATAAGTGAATCAAACAAAAAACTGTTTTTTTTGCTTTACAAAACTGCTCAACCGGTTGTAACATATGCACCATGAGATAGCAAGCCGTTGAACATGTTACTGACATGGATGCTTAGATCCTTGGTTTGAAGCAATGGTTTAAAAACTAATATTGCAAAAAATAGTGCATTGTACACATAATTTTGACATCTTTTTTTTTTCATTTTAATTTCTTTGCTGTAATTGTTAATTCTTAGAATTTCCTTTAACTTAATTGAAGTTCTGTTATTCACAAAAATTATAATCTCATCTTTTATCTGCAGGCCGTCACTGAAGCCATGCTTTTGATGGATTTAGAACAGAATACTGTAGACCTTCATATGCTTACTATTTATTTCCTTTTCTGGAATCTGTATGCTTATTTTCTCTCTTTAATGGGAAGTCCATATGCATTTATTTTGATCGGTACATAATTTTTTCAGGTTGACTTTGTTCCAAATTTTGACAATTCACAAAAGGAGCCATCTCTTTTGCCAGCTCGTGTTCCTACTTTATTGCTAAATGGTTCTTCTGGAATTGCGGTTTGTTTTATTTTTATAGATTTTATGGTTTAACATCTGTATTCTTTCATTTTGATATCCCACTTGTGTTGGAGGACGATTGTGTTAAGACTTTCATTTGGGCTGAGCTTGATTTGGTTCAGTCAATCTAATCCGTTTTGTCCGGTTTTTGGCTTGATTTATGTTGTACTTAATACTTCATCTATATGCTCATGGGAGGAAGATGACTTGACCAAGGCCAATTCACCATGGTCTGGGCCAAGTTGGGTGCATATTTTTAGCGCAAACAACAAAATGAAAAGCCCTCAAACTAAGCAAGTTTGAAGACAATTTATATAAGGTTTTAATGTGTGTTATTTTTTGCTTCTGTAATCTACCTGGCAATCATCATTTCTACTTCTATAATTATGAATTATATACAGTTTTAATTATCTACATAATGCATATTGTTTATAAATATAGTTAGTTTATTTATAATATTATATGATATGTTGAATTTATTATATTAAGAAAATCTCCCTTTATAACATATTAGAATATTTACAAATAACTTGACATAATAAAACAATTTGTTTCGCAATAGTATTCTATATTAAAATTATTGTTATCATAAAATATGACATTACTTTTTTGTATTTATTACATTTTATGACAAATTATAGATATATAAAATGGCTATTTCAATTATTTTTTGGGCCTATCTGGATTCATGTTTTTTTCTTTTTTAGTAATGTGCGTGAACGAAAACATTATAGAACTAGTTTTTTGGCAAATATGATAGTTAAGAAGCTATGAACTGTTAAATTATATATTGTTGATTACTTGATTTTACATCATATAATTAATTTTATTACTTAATTTGGTAGAAAAATTAATGGCACTCTTTTCTACATTTCAAATTAATTTTCATAAAGAATTCTACCTACTTGAGTTCACGTTAATATTTTTCCCTTGGTTTAGGACAATATGTGTGTGTCTATATATGTATATATATATTGCTAAAACTTCATAGTCCCTTTGTGACTTCATATGAAGCATGGGCCAAAATAACCCGCTGAATCTTTTTATACTTTTAGGCGGTGTTTGGTAGCATGCTTTTTATTGGATTTAGCCTTGGAGGTAGCTTAAATCCATCCAAACACAAAAAAAAAAAAAAAAAAAAAAAAAAATTCCAATGCTCTGTTAACTTCAATTCTTCCGTGTACCGTTATTTTTCTCCTGTGATCAGTCATTGTGATGATGTAAATCCGAGTAGTTGACGGGGTTATTTTGCTATTGATCACAACTTCTGTGAGATTAGGATTTGATAAATCTGAACTTGTCGGATTTAATAAATCTTATTTAATGTAAAACTTAGTTGCAGACATCGCCTTAAATTAATAAACTAATTATGTTTATATTGCTTGGTTCATAGTTCTTTATGCTTGATCATTCTTATTGTAATTTTAGGTTGGGATGGCAACAAATATTCCACCTCATAATCTTTGTGAGCTTGTGGATGCTCTCACCGCGCTGATTCATAATCCTGATGCTTCGGTAAGCATGTCATCCTTGTTTTATATGAATTTTACCAGATAGCTGTTTGATATATCAGTAAGTTGATTGATGGGAAGACAACTATTTTTTTGGCGTTCTTGTATGACTTACAGATTATCATAATCTGCAAACCCTATCTATTTATTTTTTTGAACTTTCTAAAATTTCCTTATTTGCACTGCTATGCTAAAATCCTTTTTGAAGTCGCTGATCTTAATATTTTGCCTAAAGCTTCAAGAACTGCTGGAGTACATGCCTGGGCCAGACTTCCCAACAGGAGGGCTGATTATGGGAAATATTGGGTACCACTGATTTCTTTTTTTGTATGCCATGTTTTCTTCTCTTTATCTAAAACTTGGGTTACTTTTTCTTCTTGTACTCAAGAATTTTGGAAGCATATAGAACTGGTCGGGGGCGTATAATAATTAGAGGGAAGACTGAAGTGGAGTCCGTTGATGAGAAGACAAAACGAGTAGCAATTGTCATTAAAGAGGTCACACTAACTCTTTCTTCATGAAATTTTATATCCTTTTGCTTGTTTGCATCATTGGCTTGCGTATTTACCTCACACACACACGCGCACACACACAACAACAACAACAAGAAGTCTTCATCCAATTAAGTGGGGCCAGCTACATGATTTTTTTTTCACCATTGCGTCCTATTAAGTGTCATATTTTCATTTAATTCTAACATATTAAGATCATTTTTAATACAATATGCCCATGTCTTTTTAGGCCAACCTCTGCATTTCTTAACTTAAGTTGAATCTAAAACATCTACTATCCTAATTGGATCATCAGATGATCGACGTTTAATGTAACCAAACATTCTAAGACGACATGTTTTGAACTTTATTGCAGATCCCTTACCTGACAAACAAAGCTGCATTGGTAGAGAAAATTGCTGAGCTTGTTGAGGATAAGGTACTTAATCTTTTGCTTGGAAATTTCTCTAATTGTATCAATATATCATACACGAATGCTGTTGTAACTTAAAACAATCTCATTTCTGATTTGTAGTCTCACATGCCATTTCTTTTTTGGCCAGAGTCAATATTTTAGGCTTTCAATTTTGATTGAGCTGATTTTTTTTCCTTTACTTGCTTCGGTGTGATTGAATGAATATATACTAAGTATATTTTCTAGATAATATCGATATTATACATAAATTCAAATGGCATTATCAATACATTTTCGTTCAGGAACACAATACACACTTTTAATTGCATTTATTTTGATACTCAACTTGTTTTCACTTGTTGCCTAAAAGAACACTAGAAAGAAACAATCTTAGCTCTAACATTTATAAAAAATGAGTACGAAGCCATTTGAGTTTACTACATACACTGCCAAACTGTCTAATTCAAGTATTCTATTTGACATATTTGTTCATGTGGTTTTGGGCTCACTTCTTTCAAAATGGATCAAGTGATCTAATTCATTGCGTGCCATGTGCTGTATGGATTACCTTAAAGTGACACACCAATCAACCATTATGGGTAAGCCATGAGTGTATTGACAATAGTGCACACTTGTGAATGACCACTCTCACAATTAATGTTGTATTTCACAGGTCACACAGTAGTTCTGACAATGCATGCACTGAAATCGTAACTATTCGCATGTGCTCCAACAAGTGCTTTATGTTTGCAAATTTTGCTATGAAAAAAGCTACATATATGAGTATAAAATATTTCCAAATGAATTTCATGAGCTTCGAACAATACAATACATGCTTAAATACGTTGTTTTAGAATGTCATGCAGTTTAAACATGATTTATAATATATGAGTACCTCAAGATTTATAAAATTTCTCTTAAAAAATCAAGTTAAAAACTATTAAGTTATGTATCCGCTCAACAACAACAACAACAACAATAACAATAACAAAGCCTTAATCTTACTACGTGTGGTCGGCTACAAGAATCCTTTTTCTCCATTGCGTCCTATTTGGTGTCATATTTCATTTAGTTCTAATAACTTAAGATCATTTATTATACAATAAGCCCAAGTCTTCCTAGGTCTACCTCTATAGGCTACCTCTGCCTTTCTTAACATAAGTCGAATCTAAAATATCTACCTCCTAATTGGATCATCAGATGGTCGATGCTTATTATGACCAAACCATCTAAGACGATTTTCTCTAATTTTGTCCGTCACAGGAGCTACACCAACCCTATCACGGATATAATTATTTCACATTGTCTTTAAGTGTAAAGCCACTCATCCACATAATCATTCTCATCTCGACAACACTTAACTTAGTATTATGCTTCTCTTTTAAAGGCCAACATTTAGCGCCGTAGAGCATTGCATGTCTCACCACTGTCTTATTTATTTTTCTATCACACAAAAGGCCCGAAGCATTCCTCCACTTCAACCAACCAACTTGAATTATACTATTAACATGCCCATCCATATCACCATCGCTTTGAACAAAAGACCCGAGATATCTAAATCGTTCACACTTTTTAATAATTTGATCACCCAACAAGGTACATCCTCCTGCAAATGTCTAGTAAGACCATCCATAACTAAAGCAAAAAGATATGGGCTTAAAGCCGATCCCTAATGTAATCCAACAAAAATAGGAAAATATTTGTTCAATCCTCCTTCAGTTCAACACAAGTAACAACTCTAGAATACATATCTTTAATGACTTGAATATAAGTCATATCAACACATTTCTACTTAAGAACTCTCCAAAGGATATCTCTTGGAATCTTATTGTAAGCTTTTTCTAAATCGATAAAAATCAAATGTAGATTCTCCTTATTATCTCTGAACTTCTCCATCAAACTTCTCAATAAATGTATAGCTTCCATAGTGGACCTGCCCGACATAAATCCAAATTGATTATGAGAAATCTTGATCAGGTTTGTCATTATTTTCACGCCGTCGACTCTTAATTTATGGATGGCAATTTTTTTTAAAAAAACTCAAAATTAAGTTATTTTTATATGTTGAGTAACTAGTGCCTTAACCACTAACTTTAATCGAAAGTGTTCTCCGTTATTAAGAGGGGGTAATTAACTTTCGGGTCTTGCGCTTATTAGAAATCTCTAATCAAATTAAATAGTTTATGGATATTGTTTTATTTTAAATTTATTCAGTCTTTTGGAAATTTGATACGGAAACACACAAAACTCTAAGATGAGCTTTTTGGGTGAATTGTTCGAGCCCGCAATAAATGATTGTGATGTAATATAAACATTACTTATATAAAAAACGAAATGATATAGATAGGCTGTATGAGTAGGCCTAGATAGGTATCCTCCCACACGGTACAAAAAAAAAAAAAAAAATAATGATACATATAATACCAAAAAAAGTCAAAACCACCATTATGGACGACTCCAATTAGTCTTGCCTCTTCCTCTAGTTCTAAGAACGGAGCTAGCGAGCAAATTGGGGAGTTGCGTGTCATTAACCGAAGTAACCAATGTGTCATCCATTAGATTTTTGAGCTCAAGTCGGTCACCATTCTTCTTCTTCCTCCTGGATGTGTAAACCCGCCATTCCTTGTTCGAAGATTGGGTCATCTGATCGGTATGTTGATTAACAGATTGTCGGACATGTATAAATTGTTGAATCCCTTGTGCCTGACTAACATTAACGACTTGCTCGTTTAGATGAGGTGGTAGAACTGCAGTAGAAGGATTGCCAACCGTTGTAACCACATTAGGTTCTAGTGTAAGTAAAGTATGAAAGTAAAGTATGAATTGTCTATGAATTGTCGCCTCTGTACCAGATACTTCCTGGGGATGAGGAGCTACAAGGCTCTCCTGATTATCTGTCCGAACATTTTCCTTAGTATTGTTTTCAATAATGTTTGAAGGTGTAGGTTGCTCAGCAGAGCCATCCGACAACACACAACACATCAATCGCAGAAACATCAATCGCAGAAACAAAAATAGTATTGTCAGGAGGGGGTCCACATGGGCAATTAAATCAGAAACAAATTTCTGTCTTGTGGTAATTTCCTCCACAGGTGGGGTCAATGTGTCCAAAACAGTGTGGTTAGATTCATCCTTATTCGCATGAGCTGTAGATTTCAAGTTAGGATGGAGTCTGTAGCATTTGTTAAGGATATGCCCAAACATTTTACAGTGGGTACAATAGAAATGTCTATATTCCATGACAATTTGTTGTCAATATCCATTATGTGTTGTGCTCAGTCAAACTTTTGTAATATCAGGTAAAGTGATATCTCGTTACCAAGTATTCTGGCAACAAAAGGCCTGATTAGATTGAAGGTAGGTAGATCAAGCTTCAGAGAATCCCAAAGTATGACCCCAATAGATTTAATAACCTAATAATTAAAAAAATGCAGCTTGTGTTCAGGTAAACTAAACCATACTGGTACAGTGGGAGGTTCAAGATTTCGGTCAAAATCAGGAGTTCACTTGAGTAACTTCATTGACTTTCCCGCAATGTTAAGATATTTTTTTGAGAGAACTTGAGCGTAGTTTTCAGCCATAGTTAACTGAATTAACACGTCTCCCCATCAAAGAGATCCACTTTCCACTTGCTTATAAGTTTGAGTTCATCAAACTCTTTCTGATTACATACATAAAACACATCTCTCCCCATCAAAGAGACCCACTTTTGACTTGCTTATAAGTTTAAGGTCATCAAAACTCTTTCTGATTACATACATAAGTGGGTGTCGCCACTGAAATTTTCCAATAAGGGTGAATTTGATTTTGTCAGTCAAGGTTGAAATTTCTAAATCAGAGAAAAAGAGTGCTGTTTTTCCACCTTTCCTACTTGTCTTCTTAACAAAAGGGTATTCACCGGTACATTCCTTATAGCTTGAGGGGAAGACTACAACCAACTCCACCAGGTGATTACCCACCACGTGGGCGAAGGAGGCATTGCCAAGTTTAAACAAAGGAGGGAGCTCACCCATCCAGCAGGGAGAAAGTCCACCTGCAATGAGGGAGGAAGGAGAGGGAGGAGTTACAAGTCAGAACTGTTGAGAGTAGAGGAGCCGTAGCTGCGAGCCGTTGCTAGGGCTGTCGAGTCGTGCGGAGGAGGGGAACCGAAGGAGACGAGATTTGTGTCTGAGTGCGTCAATGGGAGAGGAGGAAGAAGTCGCAGAAAGCGAGCCAAAGAACGAAGTTCCGAAGCTGTAGAAGACGTCCTTCAGCGAGCAACGAACACAAAGGCGCAGCTCGACGAAACTCAGACGAGGACGACGGAAGACGAAACAGAGGAGCAAACTCCTTTTTTTCGAGCGTGAAATTACCGTAGTAGAGGCTAGGGTTCGCAGTGAGGTGAAACCCTGGCAGGCCTCCCATTTCCGCCATTGTCATCAGAAATCCCAACTCAAGTGCTAATATATTAAAACAGAAAAGATACATAAATGTTGTATGAGAAGGTGTAAAAGAAAGCCTAACTCATATAATACAATACAAATAAATCTCAAATAAAACAAAGATACATAAAGGTAAAAACAGAAAACCACGAAAAGGTGAAAAAGTGCTGGAGACGTCCCGTTTTAGTCCTCCCTCTGCCTCTAGTTTTCGGAAGTGAGCCGACTAACAATTTAGTAAGGTGAGTACCTTTGCCCGAAGTAACCAAAGTATCATCCGTTGGATTCCTGAGCTCAAGTAGGTCTCCATTTTTCTTCTTCCTCCTGGATGTGTAGACCTGTCATTCCTCATCCGATGATTGACTCTTCTGATCAATAGATTATTTCTAAGTTGGCCGGATAGGTATAGGTTGTTGCACATCATGATTCTCATGAGCCTGAGTAACATTAACAGCTTGCTCGACCTGATGAGGCGATAGTGAAGCAGTAGAAGTATTGTCATCTGTAATATCGGTGATAGGTTTTAGGACAGGTGGAGTTTGAAGAATCTCTCTCTCTCTCATGATAGGAGGTTCCAAAGACGATTGAGCTATAACATTGTGTGGG